CAGTAGCAGCAGCAGCAGCAGGAGTTCTGCACAGGAGACGACTGCTGCTACCACCGGCACCAGCACCGGCACTCCTTGTTCCTACTCCTAGTAGTGATTTGCTTGTGTGACGGTCGCAGTAACGAGTCGCCATTGCTATGACGAGTCGTTGTAGTTGCGACCTGTAGTTGCAGTTTTGCTTGCGGTTGTGCTCGTTTTGGCCCTGGTGGCAGTGGCGGAAACGATCATCGAAGTAGTCGCAGAAGCCTAGCTAGCTCATAAAATATGTAGGAGACCATGGTCCAGTGAATGAGATGTCAGATAACCGCTCGCTTTGCAGGAGCAAGAGCGACAGGACCGACTGGAGAAGGCCTACGAGCAACGCCACGGCCTCGGAGGGAAACTGCCGAAGTCTTCTTCATCTCTCCCCTTTCCGCTGCCCCGTTCGCGGGCCGACAAGCAGTGTGAATGACTCGAAGTCGCTAACTCCGATCGTTGGCCGACTGGCTGTGGCCCATCGTTGGGACACATCGGTCCATGACAGTTAGTGCCGAAGGGCCCGACAAGCGTGCCTACTCTGGGCCTAGAGCTGTTGTCTTCTGTGCATGGTGGGGCAGTTTTCCCCCCAGCTCTCTTGACAGGTGCTGCCGCTGCACCCGACCTCACTTCCACCAGTGAACTGGAGGTCGGCTGTGCAATAAGTGGCTCCAACGTTCTGACATGCTAGAAGCTTGCAGCAGATCGGAGAGTGCTTGCTTAGCCTCCGTTATCCTCCGTGCACAAGCTGGACAAACCTGCAAGCCTCTAAACACCTGGCATTTGCCCTGTGCGGCCTTTGCATGTGGCAGCAGGCCATGTTTCCGACGTTGGACGCGGAGCTCGTTCGCTCAATCCACGCAGAGGCTCAGACGCCCCAGGACGACGATGCATTCATAGCTTCTCTGCTGTTCAGACCCTGATTTGGGTGCAGCATGAGCACTTGCCGCCCCAGCTTCCAAACTCGCAGCTTTCTCCGCGCATCGAAGCTCACGACTTCCGGAGCCGCTGCGGCGAGTCGAACATCAGAGTAAAAGGAGCAGAAGAGAAGGGAAAAATTGTGCACGTAGAAACAGAGTGAGCAGAGTGTATCGGCCGTTCGGTGAGGATGCCGTGGATACACTCTTGGCCCTCACCCTTGCCGCCGAGCCTCTCGAGGCACTCTTCTAGTTATCCAGTTCTAACAGGGCTACCTTCGTGTTCAAACTTTTGGGTTTGGGGCCGTGGCCCGGATGCCGGCAGGCACTGCCTACCTTGCCTCCGCGGGAAGTTGGCATGGATGCTCGGGCCTCTGACGTGTCGACGCAGCAGTGTTCTAGAGCACCCTCAAGTGAAAACCCCTTGCTTCTTGCTTGGCTGAGGATCACGACAAGTTCCCAGCCCTAACAGACGCAGAGGGCTGGCAGGCAGGTGTGCTGGAAAGAGTTTCGGGAAGCGGAGTTGCCAAGGGACCCTTCCCAGCATCGTCTGCAGGTTGCCAATCAAAAGCTGTTTGATCGAGACCCGGAGGAGGCAGAGAATCGCTGCGCTTTGTTGTTCAGAGTTGCTGAAACCCCTGGTTCAAGTTGTGTCGGCACGCCTTGATTTCCAGCGGGTGACAGCCACTTTCATCGCCAGCACATCGAGAAGGTTATAGCAACCTGTGGGTAAAGTTTTGTAACCCCAAACTGCCCTAAACCTTTTTAAGTCCTAAGTTCTATAGATACCACCAGGGTCTCTGTTTTCCCATAAAAAGCCCTGGATTTCAAGCTTCCCCTGGTTCAGGACCTTGGCTCTGCTTGGCGAGACCGTGCGAAGGCGTCAAGCCATGGTTCTGTTGCATGAGAGAGAAGGAGTGTCAGATGAATGGACAGAGAAGAGCTGCTGCTTTTTCAACAACATCTTTCAGCTAAGACAGCGTGGACGTGTCCCTTACCATGCGGGGCTCCTTTCTGCCGAGCTAGTGGTGAACGGGTGAAGAAACCGATCTCCGTTTCATTGAACCGCGGAGAGATGGTGTGAATCGATGAAAGCGGCAATGCAGCAAGTCAACATTCCGCTAACGCCGCTCAAGCTTTCGCAAGAGATGCCGTCAGCGTGGTGGTAGTGGGATACCGTAGGGCACGGTGGCATTTCAACATGCCGTAGCCGGTGGTTTGTATGCGCCTACGGCCGCATACGTCGTGACGTGAAGCCCTCAGCCGGTTTTCGCAGACACGGCGCCGACAGGTGCGAAGATGCAAAGGACTAAAACGAGCTTCATCCGGCGTCAGCGTATCTTTAGTCACACAAGAAATGGCCCTTGATTCAATCTGAAAGCAAATCGTGAGGCCTCGAGGCTCCCCAGCGTCTCCGGTATAGACTCCCCCAGATCCCGACAGAGATGCCCTCTCAGGCCGCGCAGGATATGCCCGCCCCGAAGGCCGATTCTGCCAAGGAGGATGGATTGGATGTCTGAATGCGCCTCTGGCGTGGGTCCTCGTGTAGGCTGCCGTGGCGCCTGCAAAGCCGCGCTCGGGCCCTGCAAAGGCCAAGAAGGAGGCAGTGGCAGTCAAAGGGTGTTTAGTTGGAAGTTCCCAGGAATGTTGAAGGATAGGGCCTTGATCAAGGTACTGAGCTGAAACTCCTTTAGAATCCGATCTCGCATGGGACGGGTTGGTGCTCATACCACCACATGTCGCCGGACACAGCAAGCTGGCTTACAAGAAGCTCTCGCGTTTGTGATTTGTTGTGGAGGCTCAAGAGAGCAGACGGTGCGGCTTAGTCCCACCATGGAACACTCACCACGTGCACGGACTGGTTTAGCCACCGAGGTTCAGTTTCGGAGGGTTTCCAAGCTATCGGCAGTACACTAGTACATTGACGTAGGTCTAGTGTAATTGGTAGCACCTTCAATGTCAGGCCTGCATCTTCATCATGCGCAGTGTAACGAGACTGGGCTGACTCCAAGTACACGAGGTTCAACGTTTAAACGATGGACATGCAATCCAGGATTTGGATTGCCTGAAACATGGGGCTGCTGCTGTCGGTCACTGGCTTTCACCAGCCATCGGCCTGGGACGAGCGGGCTCAAGCCCCTGCCGACGCCTGGCAGGTGTCTGATGGCCCAGTATCCCTGATTCAAGCTATGTGTTTATGTGCTCCTTTGGGGTGACGTCCTGCATCCTAATATGCCGGAGCACATCCGGATTCTGAAGAGATTCAGATGGTGCTGGTTCTGGTATGTCTCTCTCTGTCTCTCAGGCTGGCTGGCTTCATTTTGGTATATGCAGATTCAGAATCAGACAGTTGACTTTTCGGAGCTTACTCGAGCTGAGGATGCCGACGAAAATGCTGAGCCTGAGCGCAAGGTGTCTCCTAGCAAGCGGGACTCTCGGTGGCTCCAATGATGACTCAACCAACTACACCTAAGGCACGACCACTGTAAGGTATCTAGTGTATCGGTAACCTCGATTCCCTGTAAGCTCTGGCTTGAGATGACGCCTTCAGGTTGCACTGAGGGCTCTCCACATAGGATTTGCTGTAAGTCAGGCCACGCTATGACTCAACGGTCGTACCGTTCTTCTGCTCTGATCTTCGTTTTGTGTGCAAGACGCAGAGCTCAGCCAGAGTGGCTCGTCTATGCACCAGGAGACGGAAACGAACATCACCAAGATTCTTCGGCTGATCGATTCCGACATGGTGGATGACACTCCTGGCGCGGTCAATGCACTGACGCGGAAGGGGACCGCATTCGCTACTTATCTCCAGCCAGCCTCTGTTTCTCCCCGAAAGACTTCAGAGACCCATAGCGTTGCTAGACAAGCCTGGGGAGAGCGACCGGGAAATTCACGTTTGGTGCAAGAAGAGGCTCTCAGTCAGATCAAGCTTGGCTCGCGGCTAGAACGAAGAATGGAAATCTCAGGTCACGCTCTGCAGCTCTTTAAGCTTTCACGCGCTTCGGCTCCTTGGAATCAGACTTCGTGGTCACGGTGCAGGGTTCGGCTACGCTCCGCAAAGGTTGATCCTTCGCGATGCCTTCTTCCGTTCGGCGGCCACGTCGCCCAAAGCAATGATGAAGCGGAAGGTCGGACACTGCAGTGCTGTCCAAGTGCTGTCAGCTAAGAGCACTGTCTCACAGCAGCAGCAAAGAACGGTGGATAGATCGACAGCTGCAGAAATTCAGAAGCAGAAAGGATTCATGTTTTTTGCTTGCCAGCTTGTTGCAAGGAACCAGCAGGTTTTGGTAGATGGACCTGAATGAGCAGCACGAAACCCTGAACACTGAATCTGAACTTCAGGTGGCAGAGCACTACATGCTTTCTGCTATCCATGCCTTCAGCTGCTCCGTCTTCAGCTTGAGAAAGCTGCTGAGCAATCGGTCCGGAGCCTATCTAAGCCTTGGTTACGACGAGGTTTCCAAGGATCCATTGAGTCTGTTTCTTGTCAAACGTCTTGCTAGTAGTTCTTCTACGAGATGACAGGGTGCTTGGGACATGACTCAATCTTTGCCCCAACAGCGCACCCGATCAACAAGTTGCTGGCAGCTTGAGGGAATGATGCTTTGCCGCCTTGTCCAGACTTGCGAAGATGAAGGCTGTCGACAAACTCTATGGTCGTTGATGAAGAGAAGCTGAAACTGACGTTGAGGCAGTGAAGAGATGGACGCGTGCAGAAAGTGCGGAAACCATCCAAGCCCCTCCATAAAGACAAGCTTGCTCATGTGATAAAGCTTGTCTCACGACGGCTTCCGGAAGGGTCGGAGCTCAGGTGGACTTCTGCAGTCGGCTCGGAAGCCATGCTATGCTTCTCCCTGGGATACACGAGCTACACACTGCTTGCGCTCAGGAGCCCCTCGGCGCACGATCCCTAAGAACTTAGGAAAAGACTTGAGAACATGCCGGCATCGGTCCTTGACAGCCACGCAGGGTTGAAGCCAGAAACGCCTGAGTTTCCATTCGAAGCTGACCGCTTCAGCTCAGCATAGCTTAGCCGTGGGCGCTTTTCTCCTTCAAGGTCAGCTGTTTTCGGATCCGCTCTTTGCAGTGAACGAACTGGCGAACTTCGTCAAGCACTGGTCATGCCTGCGAGCGCAAGGCCTCCTGCATGGGGTTTCCGCGGCAATGCTGTGCCGAATCCACACAGGCAGTCTCCTCCCTCAGGCACCGGCTGGATCGTGCCGCTGCTCTTGTCTGCAGAGATTCCCACGGCCTGCCTGGACCTTCTGCGGATGCTGGCAGAGGCACGAGTAGCGGCGATCGTTTAATGAAGAGTGCGAGTGGTCGAGCCTCCGCGCACTCTCAGAGCGCGCTGACTCCCCCCTTGCAACTGCTCTCCGGCGCAACTCTCTCCGGCTCCACTCTTCGCTGAGGTCGGCCTCTCGCCTTCCGGTCTGGCCTGGCGCTTCTGCCTCCCGGCGACCTCTGTTTGCTGTGCTGCAGAGACGACACGGCTGGGGCCTAGGGCGGCGGCGGTGCAGTGCGCCGAGGTTTGGGCGCTTTCACCACCAGCTTCGTTGCAGTGAAGGGGCTGCTGCTGCCCATCTGCCTCGGGGCAGAGCCTTGCCTTTACAGCTCTTCTTGACAGGTCTGCAGCCGGAGACCTTAGCCATTGCAAGCCCAGATAGACCGCAACCTACAGCGACTCAGGTGATTGCAAGGCCTCGGCAGTATCCCGAGCTTCACCAACCAGCGGCTCGGCGTCAGAGCCAGTGCAGATCACGGCATGTCCGAGTCTGTCCCAGATTCCAACCTCTCACTGTCAATCAACTCTGAGCCCGTGGTGAGTCTTGTTTTACTGGCACCAGAATCCTCGAGAACGTTTGGGAAAACCTTCCTGTATTTGATAATTCGCATGAATAGTGGACATGAGGTATATTCAGCGGTTCACCTACACCCCATACTTCAGTAACCGTAGCCGAGCGCCCGAATTTCCGAACAAGTCACCTGCCCCCGAAGCTTACGCGTGGTTGTCAATGATGGGGTGGAGAGACGGAAGGATCACAGCGAACAGCAATGCCAGACTGCTCTCGCGGGTGACTTCGTTCTCAATGTCAACAGCAGTCACAGTCAGATCAGTCAGAACACCAGTAATTAGACTATCACTGAGACCGAACATTCCGAAACAGCTTTCTCTCAAGGCTTTTCTACCCGCCAAGCTGGCCATGCTGGTTCGGGTGGTGATGAGTTACACCTGGCTCAGCATCGTCGCCCGACACTGGGCGCCTGTGGCACCTACCAGCATTTTTGGAGAGCCTGTAGCTTCAGAGCGTCCTCCGGAGTGTCAGCCTTCTGTGACGCTTCCGAAAAAGGCTTGCCGGCTTCAGAGAAGACAGTAAGACAGTCATGTGGTCGGACTTCGGGTTCGGTCAGAGCTCAGGTGCCCACGCGTCATCTGCACCCCGAGGGCTACCTCGTCTCCCCGAGCGCGCAGCGCCTTCCCCGCCTCCGCCGCCCGGCGCTTTCAGAAGCCTAGACAAAAGGGCCTAGAGGGCCTTCCCTTTCGTTGAAGCTTCGCGGCTTTCAGGCCAGGCTTTTTCAGGCTTCCAGGCATTCCGACGTTCCTTCTTCCCCTCGTTTTCACCGCATCGCCTCAAGAATCGATGTCTCTTTCGACCGGCAGAGGCAACATCACTCCCAGCCTCTCGGACGTGTGGCTTCAGTTGAGACCCTTGGTGCTATCGTCACTTTTTTTGGTTAATTAGGGCCTGTGGTGATAATTATTACGATGCGCGGACCTGAGCTCTGAGAACTTTGAGCTTGAAGTTGAGCAGATCCCTGAATGGCTTGCAAAGCGGAGAGCCGAGGAAGTGCCTACAGTCCACTTAGCCTCCTTTTCTTCTCTGTGCTTCAGGCACCTGGGAGTACGTCTTTGCGACTTCTCCATGCAGTTGTTAATGGTGCTGTGGTGGTGTTAGCACTCGTATTCAACTGTCGACCTGCACGATACGAGCTGACTGCTGTTGACAGTCATTATAAGCGGTCGTGGCCGTCACACTAGCAGCTGCCGACATTCACGTTGTTCTGGCCTTTGTTGATTGATGGTTTGGTGATGATGTGGATGTGGGTTGCTGCTGCATTTCCGCTCCGGACACGTTCCAGAACCACGAGTCAGAGCCTCTTTACTAAGGCCCGAATGCAGCGCGATTCTGCATATTACCGTCGTCCTAAGCTAGGAGATGCCATGGTCAGTAGCTGCGTAGTGCTTGTACAGGGGACTTGTCTTGCCCTGAAGAAGGAACGTTCAATACTATCCTGCTTACACGAGACTTCTCAAGATCTGCGACTGAATCGCGAACTCTGTACACCGTGCGATACAAGCCGCCAGGCTTGCTACTTCGTGGGTCCTGCGGCGCTGCTCGGTTCGAAGCACGGAAAGAATCCAGACCAGCAGCAGCTCTGCACTCTGAGACGAGGATATACGTGCAATGGTACTCGTAGTGAAACAGGCGGTCGTCGCAATGATGTCAGCTGTAGTATCACTGACTAGGAGTTAACATGGCCGTGTTGGCAGTCGCCGCAATAGAGGCGGTGGTCCTTACAAGGTTGGGGTCTCTGAATCAA